GTGCCCAAAAAATGCCATCAAAATAATAGCAGGACACTTTAATGCCAAAGTCGGAAGAGAGAATAAATTTTCGCCCACCATCGAAAAAGAGAGCCTACACTAACAGTCTCAGAATCATAAACTTTGCGATCTCTAAGAACATGGTAATAGTTGGGACATGATTTCCCCATAAAGATATACATAAGGAACTTGGAAATCTCCTGATAATGAAACAATTAACCAAATAGATCATATAATCATCTATGCAAAACACTGCTTTAACTTGTTAGATGTTAGGTCTTTTAGAGGAGCAAACATAGATAGTGATCACTATTTAGTTGAAGCACGATTTATATATAGTCCCAAGATTCCTAAGAGGAACATAGGGCTTCCACAAAGTGTCTCCAGCGAACTCTATTTCTGGCTAGTGCTTTGATTTCAAGCCAGGATTTTCCCATTGTTCTCCCTTCGTCCAGTACTGTCCTTCTCCAAGTTCCCTTAGGTCTGCCTACTTTCCGTCGGCCTTGGGGATTCCAATCCAGCGCTGTCCTGGCAATGTCATTTGGCGGTCTACGGAGTGTGTGGCCCAGCCATCTCCATTTTCTTCGCCTTATTTGCTTTATGACATTTTCTTGGTTGCTTTGGTTCCATAAATTTTCATTGGAGATTCGGTTAGGCCAAAATATACGAAGGATTTTTCGTAACGCTCTATTGATGAAAACTTGTAATTGGTGTACTATGGGTGCTGATATCTTCCACGTTTCGCAGCCATACAGTAATACAGCTTTTACATTTGTGTTGAAGATTTTTAATTTCGTTTTAGTTGGGTAAATTCTGGATTTCCATATGTTGTTAAGCATGTTGTAGGCGTTGCGAGCCTTATTTATTCTTTCATGTACATCACGCTCTGTACCCCCATTACAGTCAATTATGCTGCCCAGATATACAAATTCCGCTACTCTCTCAATTTTCTGGTCGTTGATCATAATAGGTTGGTTGTTTCTGGTACCAAATCGCATTTGTTTGGTTTTGTTGATGTTTATTTCTAGACCAACCTTTTTTGATTCTTCTTGTACTTTGTTTACTTGGAGTTGCATGTCCTGTTTTGTATATGCTAGGAGGCATATATCATCAGCGTAATCTAGGTCTTCCTGTCTGTTTGTTAATCCCCAGTAAATTCCTCTATTAGAGTTTACCTTTGTTAGTACGGAGTCCAGTACAATGTTAAATAGTATGGGGGATAAAACACAGCCCTGCTTTACTCCGTTTAGCATAGCTATTGGGTCAGATGTTATGCCGTTGTGTAGGATTTTGCTTTCTGTGTCACTGTAGAGTTCTTTGATGAGATTTACTATTTTTTCTGGTATTCCTATTTCCTGCAGTGCTTTCCATATGGCCGTATGTGTGAGCGTGTCAAAAGCTCTCTTG